AATTAAAGCGATTCAGTTCAATACGATGTTTTTTTTATAAACTTGATTGATTAAAACCAGACACATGTACGTATATTGTTAATATACGTACCTGATTAAAACACATAAAGAAAAACTTGAATTGAAGATGATGATGATAATTATTAAGATAACGGACATGTATTTTACAACCATCCATTATCGGAGAAAACATTCAGTTTGACAAAGTGCGAAACATGAAATAATTTCAATATCGATATCTACATAATTATACTACTTATTTATACTATTGTTATCGCATTTTTGTAAAATCATTTTAAAACATGCATGTATGTGGTTATAATGTACGTAATAAGATTAAAAAGTTCTTCATCAAGATATATTTCTGTTGTACCAGCGTGTACACCTATACTGTAATTGGGTATAACATGTCATAATCTCGGTCTCGTCTGTCCTGCGAGAGTGAAAAAACGAAAAAAATGGCGGCGCCCATGAACTTATTTCTCAAGTAAAAAAAAGTGTCTTTAAACACGAATTTCTCAGTTATACGGTTGATTTCAACAGAAAAACTGTCATTGTACCCTTTTTTAAATGATGAATATTTATATAAGACAGAGATCACTCTTTCCGTTCCTATTCCTTTAACCTGGAAAATAAACATTTAAAGGTTAGATTATTAAATAAGACACTGTACAGACAAAAAAAACAAAACAGACCGAACTAATAAACATGTTAAAGTAAGTATAATGAACGCACTCTTAAATTCAAGTTAAAGAGCCCCATGTGCTATTCGGTCCTTATCCGGTGCGGCACATCATAAGGTTGTTACGCAATAAAAACAATAAATCTTTTGAATAATGCACAGGTGCTCGTCCAGTCTTGGTGCCCATATTTAAAAATGAAGTTAAAAAAAAAAAATTAAAAAAAAATTTTTTTTGAAAAAAAAAAAAAATAAATAAAAAAATGATATAATGGTATATAGGAAAAAAAAAATATTTTTCAATTTTTTTTTCGTACACTCAACCCAAAATAGTTATTTTGATGTTTTTTTTTTCAATTTTTTTTTTCATTTTTTTTTTAAATTTCATTTTTTTTATATGGGCACCAAGACTGGACGAGCACCTGTGGAATTATGCAGTCAATACAGCTAATCTTGATAATGAAAACATGAGCATAATGTTTCTTTAGCTACACGGAGAGCAGTCGCCATATCACGTAATATTAGATAGTAAAAATCAGACAATAATTTTCAAAATTTCGATGTATTGTACCTCGAATCTCATTCATTTATTCTTTGCTAATTTATAATATGCAGGACTTTATCGGTACAATAAAATCCATATCGCACAAAAAGGCATATATTCAGAATATTTCACCGCCATTGGTAACGTATTTTTGGCATGCGTTTCAACTTTAATTATTTCAACTTTAATTATTTCTTAATTTACGTAATATTTATTACTGCGTATTGTTTTATGCATATCTAATCAAAATAAAGACACATAAAGTGGGGGGCATATAGCGTTGCACTTGTCCGTCCGTCCGTCCGTACAAACCAGAGCTACATGATTGGGTTTGGTATATTGTTCTCATAACAATAGATGTCTTTGATATCATTCATACCGTTTCTCTTGTGGCGTTATTGTTTGCATTGTGGGGTTAAAAAAGAACAAAAGAAATAACAAAAGAAAACCCCATAATGTAGCTCTGGTAAGAATGTATGCCCGTCCGTACGTCTGTCCGTACGTCCCGAAATCTTGTGAACGCAACTCTTAAACCGGATGGCAGATTTTGCTTAAACATCCAGGGATGAACAACCTTAATGTGTAGATGGAAGTAAAGGAAGGAATTTTTGCTGCGACCAAATTTAACAGAATAATGGCCATTTTTTATTTTTTCATTATATATATGTAGACATTTTGTGAACATAACTCCTCTTTAACCTGATGGCAGATTATGCTTGAACTTCCAGGGATGAACAACCTTAATATGTAAATGGTAGTAAAGGAATGAATTTTGCTGCGACCAAATTTAACAGCATTATGGCCCTTTGTTGATTTTTTCACTATATACCATATAGAAATTTTGTGAACGCAACTCCTCTTAAACCGGATGACAGATTTTGCGTAAACTTGTAGGGATGAGCAACCATAAGGTGTAGATGGTAGTAAAGGAAAAAAATTTTGCTGCGACCAAATGCAACAGAAGTATAGCCCTTTGTTAATTTTTTCACTATATACCATATATATGTTCTTGGTGGGGGCATCCGTGTCCTTTGGACACAGTTCTAGTCTTAGCCCTATTCGAGTGAAAAGAGTTTAAACGCTTTTTATTTTGGGTCATTTTTTACAATTTGAAAAAAATATTCTGGAAAAACGAAGTTCGCAAATGATCTGAAATTTTGCACAAAGATTAGTGGTCTAAACCTACATCAAATGGTACATTTATCTGGAAAAAATATTTTCAGTCTCATCATATGAAAAAAACCTCAGTGGAGTCCCTTTAAAATACCATAAACTCAAATGTTAGTAACAAAGAAAGGGAATATCTAGGGTTAGCTAATGATGCCAGAGGGTGTAACTACGAGTATTAAATATGGGAATGAGACAAAGTTTCTTTTAGTAGATAATGATTACGATAAAGGAAATAAATTTAATATGAACGTTAAAAGCTTGTATTTAAATGTTAAGAAAAATATATACTATTTAACTCTTTTAGGTAAAAAATAAATATGATTAAGAATTATGAAGGGAATATTTTCAAAATTTAAGGTTAAGTTATGTTTAAACAAAATGTATATTTTTGTATTTATTTTTATTTTATTTTTATGCCCCCGGGCATATAGTAATTGAACCGTCGTCCGTCCATCTGTCCGTCTTTCCGTTCGCGGTTAACCTAGAACGGCAACTTGGATTTTTTAAAGTTCTACCTGTACCAATGGCTTCTAAGTTTACACACTTACTAATCAATACAAAGTACATGATCTGGGCAAGTAATATAACCCTGGCTTTCATATTTACTAAGTTATTGCCATTTTCAGCACTTAGAAAATGAATAATGGTTAACCTAAAACGGCAAGTTGGAAATATCGTAAGTTCTATCTATACTAATGGCTTTATAATTTTCACACTTACTTATCAATGCAACGTACATGATATTGCCAAGTAATATAACTGTGTCATCCATATTTCCCAGTTATTTCCCTTTTTTCACTTTGAAAATAGGACCTTGTCTGGTTAACCTATTTCGGCAAGTTCGATTTATCGTAAATTTTTCTTAATTGCTTATGTTCTTTAATGATATCTTTCATATTTAGTAGGTGGTTACCTTTGATGGTCCTCTAATTTTTTGTGGAGTAAGCGGTCTCTATGGTCAAGGTCAAGGTCACTGGTTTAAAAAATAAATATAAACATTTTTGCTCATACAGCCTTTATTTTTTAGTTGATGTCTTAGTTTAAAACACACATGCCAAGGGAGGTCCTCTTTCTTTGGGTGTAGTAAGGGGTCATTTGGGTCAAGGTAAATGTTACCAATGTCAAGGTCACCAATGTTAAAAATAGATTTTTACATTTTTACAGGTGTATTGACCTTATTCTATAGACAGATGTTATTTATAATTGATAGAAACATAAACTTTGATGGAGTTAGTGGTCAGTTGGGTCAAGGTCACTTGCTAAAATAGATTTTTACACTTTTGCCCATACATATTTTATTTATTGAGAGATGTTTGGTAGGAAGATAATTTGCATGGTATTCTTCCTTTGGATGGAGTAAAGGGTCAGTTGGGTCAAGGTCACCAGTGCTTAAAATAGATTTTTACACTTTTGCCCATATAGCCTTTATTTATTGACAGATGTATTTCATTTTTGGTAGGAAGATAACTTACATGGTATTCTTCTTTTGAATATAGTTAGGGGTCAGTTTGGTCAAGGTAACTAGTGCTTAAAATAGATTTTACACTTTTGCCCATACAGCCTTTATTTAATGACAGATGTATTTCATATTTGGTAGGAAGATAACTTGCATGAAGTTGAATATTTTTTGGCAACTTAAATTTTTCACAAATACAAAATGCCATGACTTTTTCAAGCTATATAAATTATGTTTACAATATTTTTTTGGCAATTTTTCTGTCCATAACTGAGTGAATAGGTAAACATTTTTTGAAATATTGCTACTGACAAGAATCTTAGCCTGGGGCATTTGTGTTTAACAAACAGGTTCATGTTTTTTATTTTTTGTCTGGTTTAGATTAAATACATGTATATGGTGAATATACCTAAATACTGATTGGGGTGTACCTTGACAACACTCTGCTTATAATGACATAAAATGTTACTGCAGCCATTATCGTCAATAAGTAGGTCAAGATAAATAATAACCATTACTAAAATAATCAAAAGGATTATTGAAGTTGAAGAAAAAAAAAATGATTTAATCATGATCTGGTAGAAAAAAATCCAGTACCAGCAAAAATTACCTGTGGGAAAAGTTTTAAATAGAAAGATTCTCTAAAAGAGTAATTTTGTCATGAAGGGCTTTTAGTAATTATCAATATGAGAACATAACTATGTATGAAGGTAAAAAAAATGTGATATTATCATTTAATACATGTACATAAGAAAAGCAAATGATCCTTGTAATATTATTACATGTCATATCTTAAAACCATCCATAACTGATGTAACCAACTAGTCCCAATAAATGTTGGTATAGACAAGTTTCACTGTATGGTTGTTTTAAGTCAGATTTTGTTAATTGTTATTAAGATTTTATGGAATTTTGCTTGAATTTTAATACAGATAATGATTTAATGCACATTTTTTCAACACTTAAAATCATTATATATTACTCCAATATCTTGATCAAATATGCCTTATTAGCTTCTAGTATTTCAGTTCTAAAATGTGAAAAACAATCAACATTCTTGCAAGTATATGCTTGAGTCCAGGTATAAATTAACAGATGGTTTAGTGGAAATGATCATACATTTTGTCTTTGGTTTCTTGTCCCTGTATTTGTTATTTTCCATCAGTGAAGTCTGAATCTAAACTACTTTCATGTGAATCTAGTTGACCAACCTGTACTGGTAAATTGTTGACAGCTTGTTCATGTGTGCAGATTGGGTAAAAGTTGTCGTCTAACTTATCATTGTTGTCTACTATGTCAGTATCAGTTGGTTTGACAGTGCCAGGTGGTAGCAAGTGATCATTATTCTGTGCAGTACTTGACAGGCTGACAGTTTCCTTACAGGTTGTTTCTGGGTGGTTGTTCTCTTGTTGGTTGTTTTCTTGTCCTGACTTTTGCAATGTCTTTGGATTACTTGATATTTCTGCTCTTGTCTGTGTGTTATTTTCTGATATTTCTGTGCAGTTTGTTCCGTCTATGTTTAATGGGTGTGTAGTTATACGTGATACAAGCTGATTACAGAATGATTCTGTACAGATTGAGTCTCCTTCATTACATGTGTCTTCAGTATTACTTGTTAGTGCTGCCCTTTTTGCTTTGGCTCTCTCTATATTTGTCAGCTGAGTTTGACTTTTTGATGATGTTCTTTCTATATTCTGTTTTAAATGCAACATTTCCAACACTGTCTTCCTGAATGTGTTAGAAGTTAAAATGTACAGAAAGAAATTGATGCTGTAATTGATCTGTTCTAAACGTTGTGAAGTCTCCCTGAACACAAAGATAGAATATGTTCTCTCCATCTCTTTCTTTTTAATATGTAGCCAGAATTTTACCTGCTGGAAAACAGTAATTGGTGTCACACATATGATAAAAGCTGCCACAACTGAAATGAGAACAGTTGTTGTCCGAAGTAGCTCTTGCAATTGCTGAATTTCACGTTCTTTTCCTGTCTCGGTTTGCACATTATTGGTGAGAGTTTTCTTATACTGATATCGTTTGTACAGTTGTAGGATAATGATAGGTGTTAGAACTGACATGAGACAAATTGGTCCTACGGAATACAGCAACATCTCGACCAACATCAATGCTTGAAACATTTGCTTCTCATTTGATACCATAGCGTCCTTTTTACAAATCATGTTTTCAGTGGCTGTTGAGAAACTCAGTATTATAGCAAAACCAGTCATAGTAAGATAGACAACAATGATGTAAACTTTTATCCTCATTTCAGTAATGATGATTTTAACTTTGAGGGGAAACTTAACAGCTACAAACCTTTCAATGCAGAGAAATACGATAAACCATGATGAGGTCATTTTTGAAGTACGATAGAATATATAGAATATCTTGCATCCTATATCGGAAAATGCCCTAACATCAAGTTTAAAGAGATCTTGAAGAAAATCTTGGTTGAATGTATGACTGCAAATCATGGCTGTGTCAGATACTGCCAATGCTATCAATATATGTCTGGATGCTATGTTTTTCCATTTCTTATAGATAAGTACAGCTATTGTGAGACTGTTGCCAACCAATCCAACAACTAGAAATATACAATGAAGAATGATCTCTATGTTGTACATTGCTTTTTTCTCACCTTCCCAATCTATAGATGACATTGGAGAATTCTTTGTTGGTTTCACATCATCCATGGTGGTAGTGACATTTTGCAAGGTTGTCTCACTTTCATTAGACCAAGTCTGGTTCAGCAACGTTGCATTCATTATGTTTTTCTATAAAAATAAAAAAAGTTTCATGGTTAAAATTTTTTGTAGGATTATAAATTTTATTGCCTTTTTCATTGAAACACAAAAACTTTTATTAATTAAAAAGACAGAAAGATAAAAAATTGAAAACAGTTGGAGCCAGCATAATATTTTTGGCATAAAACAAATAACTGTTTTTGTTTGTTTTTTTATCAAAAGATAATTGCGAAGAACAAAGAATTTTTTAATTTATATAATCAGAAATTTTATACAAAAAGTTTAATTTTATTTGATTATTGATGTTTTATCATTTAAAAAAAATAAATTGATTCTTTTGTATCTACCTGATAGTAAAAGTTGGGATACTATTTACAAAAGTAAGTCCTTTATTGGCGACGCCGTTGAGCGGCGTCGTCTCTCATGGAATGCTTTTTATTTTGGAAAGGATCTGTTATTATTAGCAGTTTATGTCATGCTGTGTTTATTAGTTTTATTTTGATTCATAAAAATCAAGTAAACAAATATGTTGTTATATTTGTATTTAATAACTTTATGTAAAATGCATGTGCATTGTGATATTATTTTCACGAAATTGCACTCTCAGTTTAACAGCTTGTCCCTTAGTTTTATTGGCAATACTAAAACCCGGATTCCGAATATCGTTGTGATCTACATTGATAACGTATTCTTTTTCATTCCTTTATATATTTTCAAATTTTCCTACGTTCACATGCAAATGACTATTAGGATAGGTAATGGAACTGTTGTAAACGATTATCCTATTGATTGTATTCATATTACGTTAATCTATTGCACAGAATGATTGTTTTTACAAAGTGCACCAGTATCCAAATGTTGAAATCTTTCCGATTTTCTGCAATTACTGCTGTCACATGGCCATCTAACTTTTTATGAATATTTTACCATTACTCTGCATGGCTTAATAAAACTGAGTCTTCAACATTTCATAATTTTGCTGTTTCGGGTGTTCTTTTGGGGTATCAGGTTTTCTTTATTTTAAGGGGAAGTAACTCATGTTTACTAAATTATTTGTTTTTTTCTGTCTATCTTCGGTATTATTTACTATTTTTGTTGTATAAAGTTTACCAGTTGTAAGGTCATCAAATGCCATGAGGAGTGAATATTGATAGATTTTTTACAGGCTTTATATACCTTAAACTGGATCTTTCTAGTTTGTTCAGTTAGTTCATACCTACAGGTATATACATATAGAAATTTTGTGAACGCAACTCCTTTTAAACCGAATGGCAGATTTTGCTTAAACTTCCATGGATGAACAACCTTAATCTGTAGATGGAAGTAAAGGAAGGAATTATTGCTGTGACCAAATTCAACAGAATTATGGCCCTTTGTTGATTTTTTTCCACTTTATACCATATATATGTTGTCAGTGGGAGCATCTGTGTCCTTTGGACACAGTTCTAGTTTCTACTGTTGAAAAAGCAATAATTTTTTTAGACTCATACTGAATATGCTTATTTAAAGGCAGGCATAAATTGTTTTTGCATTTATGAGTTAAGTAACTGAAAGCTTAATGAAATGAATATGTGAATAAGATATATCAATTATTTGTATTGGTTTTGTCTGAAATATAACACAATCATGATATGGTTATATGTTTCTCGTCAAATCCCAACACAGGTTTTTTTAGAATACTCTTGTCTGTTTGCACCCCAGGATAATATATAGATAGTATTGGGAACTTAGGAAATGTGGGTTATCCCCAGCTAATCCGAGGGTACACACTAATTTTCCAGATATTAGCTTTAAAGTGGACAATATTGACAATAGTAATTAAAGGGTAAAAATCTTATGAAAAGTTTATAAATTTATCAACAGTAAAGTTATATTTGTTTCCTTATTATTTGGTTGATTCCCGAAAAAGTTGTAACATAGAATGTTTCTGTTATTTGACACACATGGATATTGTATGTAAACAGAATAAAATGTTCCGAAACAAAATATTTTTTGCTATTTTCAGTAGGGTTTTAACTGTTAATCAATGATTTTGTTCATGTGTCATTCGCTTTGAAGGCAATTATCTACCACGTTTATTTCATACAAACATTTTTGAAGTATTCTTTTTAAAAATTCAAAAAAATATTTTTGAAGCAGATATAAAGCTTTATACCCAATAAGCGCAATATTAATACCATATATTGTAATTGTCATAGTTTATTTGTAACACCTGATTATCTGTAAAAATTAACAAAGATATTGTAATACACAGATTATGAAGTTCAAATATTTTCACTCTTTATTCACCAAAATGACCACTCAGTCAACAGACAGACGCTAATTGGAATAAACAGTCACTCTTTACTACCAACAATTGATTATTTAATTATTATCAATGGGACAAATGACTGGAGTCACTTTTTTTCATTATGAAAAATAGAATTTCCTGAATTTCAGATGCATTCTTGTTATAATTCACATTTTCATAATATTTGTATTGCTTAGCCAGTTTTACAGTATATTGCCATCCTTCTATATGATTCTTAGACTGAATTGTTAAATTTATAATATTATAAATTGATATTCTAGAGCCACTTGAAGAGGACACAATGTTACTATATACAGTGAAGACCAGAAGGAGCCGGAAAATCGTGAAACTTACCAAAAGGAATACCTTAAAAAGAAAGAGGTCCTTTTTCAAAATATTAAGAAAAAGGATATCCCGTCCAAAACTTTAAATTGTGGAAGAATGTGTTACTGATGGCAGACAACTGGGAACATTTCTTCACCTAGAGAAATAACTAGGAAAGTATGAAATTACAGAAGCACAAAAGAAGGGACCTATCCTCATGCTCCGGCGATGGACACAGAATTCTAAATAGCCAGCAAAAGACAATGAAAATGTTTTGAGTAAGGATTATATGTTAATATATAATCAGCAATCTTGCAGAAATGGTGTTTAATGAAGGAATCAATATGTTGACTTTCTATTTTAAAGAAGTGTTGCATCATGCTTCTTTATAAGGTGAATGATCTGGAGCCATTTGCCCTCTTGTTTTATTTACGGAGAAGTTGTCTGTAATAATTTACATTTTAGTGTACGTATATTCAGATTGGGGAAAGATAATAGGGTACTGGGTTACGGCTGTGTCTCAGAATAAGTTGTGTCTGGTGCTTGAATGTACTTGTTAAACCTTTTAATTCTTTTTCATGTATGTAATGTGGTGTAAGGAGGCACTGCCTGTATAAACATTTTCATGAGAAGTAACACTTGCAAATCATTTTCATTAAAATAAATTTAAAATCTATTTTTTGACATGCCATTAAAACAAATGCTGATTCAAACCGTGGCCAGAGTAATACTTACGCATCACAATTATTTACAGCAACGTTTTTATAAGTCTGTGGTCATTTAACTGACTGATCATTTAACTGACGATACTCCTGGTTGGTTCTTGCATTACGGGGCTTACAATAAGAATAAACGAAAATGTACCGTAAAAAGTAACCAATGTTTCCATGTGGGGAATTAAATCTATTAAGGGAGCAACATACATATTTAAATTTTATGTAATCAAAATTCTTTCTTATGTTTATCAAGCAATAAAACAGGTAAAGTATATTGAGCTCGAATATATGAGGAAATATCATTGCCTTGTGCGGCATCTTAGGTTTTACCGACAGAAATTGTTCTCGGCCTTACAGACTTATCATTTTCTGTAGAAAAAAAACCATCGATGTCGCACCAGGCTATGATATTTCCATATTACAGTATCATCGCTGTACTATAACTATAAGTTATAGATGCCTTATTTTTAAACCATCAGTTACCTTCTCACCGGCTGGTGGATCATGATATTTTTTGTGTTATAGTGAATATCTGTCATCCTACTTTATTTACTATTATTTAAATAACAATAATATTGCTTTATAACAAACTGGTAGAATTTTATCAAACTTTACAGGACTGATAATTTTATAAGTGTACTAAAGTTTTATAGATGCTTTCTGTCTGATAATTATTTTTGTCCAATGTTTATAATGTTTTATGCTGTGTAAAAGTTGTTAAATCAAACATGATGCAATTGAGAAATGTTGTGAATTTTTTCATGCTGTAAACAATGTTTTTTGACTTTGATTTTAAGCCCATATATGATTGATATATTTATAGGAAACTCTAGAGTATAATAGAGTTTTTGAGAGGTATTTAAAGCAAACAGATTACTTCTCATCTACAATTTGTTTCACTTCTTTAGTGTTTGTATGTAATAGTATTTTGATCATTTTAAGCTCACTGTATCTGTTAATTATATTTTTATTATTATTATTAATATTATTATTACCATTTTTAGCTCGACCTTTTTTATATGCCCGAAAGAATTTAAGGCATATTATGTCATACCCCCTGCCGTTTGTCTGTCCCTCCATCCGTTAGCAATTTGGTTACCAGAGCATAACTTAAGTTCCATTTGGCCCACAATATTCAACTTTCATAGGATGATTGTCCATATTAAATTAAAGACCCCACAAAAGGTCAAAGGTAAGGTCACTTTTACCTTAAAACTGAAAACAGTTGTTTGAGCATAACTTAAGTTTCATTGACCCACAATATTCAAACTTCATAGGATGATTGTCCATATTGGATGTAATACTCCTATTGATTTTGGGGTCACAAGATCAAAATCACTTTAACCTTAATACTGAAAACAGTTTCCGGAGCAGATCTTAAGTTTCATTTGGCCCACAATATTCAAACTTCATAGGACAATTGTCCATATGGGGAAAAAAGACTCCTATTGATTTTGGGGTCAAAAAGTCAAAGGTCAAGGTCACTTTTACCTTAAAACTGAAAACAGTTGTTTGAGCATAACTTAATTTCCATTGACCCACAATATTCAAACTTCATAGGATAATTGTCCATATTGGGTAGAAGACTCCTAAAGATTTTTGGGTCACAAGGTCAAAGTCACTATTACCTTAATACTGAAAACAGTTTCCGGAGCAGATTTTAAGTTCCATTTGGACCACAATATTCAAAC